TAAGAGCGTTCCACTTCTGGTGATCTTCATTTCTTTGACATTGCACAGTGGAGCCTGTGGTAGACAAGTTCATCATCTTTACATAGTTTTCCTTCATAAACAAACCATTAAAGATAAAGATTTTGAAGTATCTAAAGAGAACAAGTGTAAAGCCTAGGTGCATGTTCTGAACATATCGATGTACCCCGGGATAGGTTGCATAGCAGCCTCTCGGATGCAAATCATGCATGCTTATTCAGAATTGAAATGTATCCAGAAAAATGATGATGCAAAGTCAAACATCCTCTAAATGAAATGTATCATTCAACTAACCGTCACAATTACAGCATCAATGGATAAAGAATTCTTGTCAGGTTTAGCAGCAGAAGAGACTGTCCAATTTCCTATTTCTGACTTGCCCTTAAGATCATAAGATAATGATAAAACCTTTGAGTTTAGCTTAAGCTCGTCTTTGTTAAGCTCTTTGCATAGCGTGTCAGCAAGTGTCTGCACAAGATAAAGATTGAAAAGTGTAGAACAATTTTTAGCTTGAAGAGTGTGAAGCAAAGATCAAAATGAATAAAATGTTCATGTATCTACATTGCGGTATGGAAGGAGAATGTAACATCACGCACAATAGGGAAGCACTACTTGTCATGATGAACAAACAAAGCCAAAAACAAAAAACCTGCATGCCACCCTGAAAGGAAAATGAACCACGCTGGGGCTTCTTTTTTCCCAAAGAACGCTTTGCTTCCCCACTCTGCTCCTTTCTAGCAAATAACTTTGATTGAATCAATCCAGTTATAATGGAACCAAACCTGAAAAGAACATAAGATTTTTTATCTATATAGCAATCTGCTGAAAGTATTTCATTTACAATAATATCATGACCAAAAATGGCAACCGAAGCAATTAAGCAATTTTGTTCTGTAGATTAGCATAATAAGTTGCAAGCGGTCACTAAGGAATAAATATGTAGAGAAAAAGGCAACTAAAATGTACCTATTCTCTAAATTCCATAGTTCTGGAAAAGTATGCCGCATCTGTTCAATAGCAAGGAAGTCAAAAAATCAGTTACTGAAAGCCGAATGATTTAGAATAAAATGCCCTGGCATTTAACATCCAATTCCTAACAAAAGCAGTTGATTAAAATGTAACAATAGTAGCTTCCTGAATCATAGTTAGATATTTCACATCCGAACCTTGACCAAACTAAGACAACAGAGAAATCGCTTAAGATAATGTCAACTTTAGCATCATAATCATATAGATAATTATTAGATAAGAATTGCATTTATGATCATTTTAGATTCCATGCAAGTTTTGCAAAGATGGGAGATCACTCACAGAAAGAGATTCAGGATCTCCACCGCTTGTGCCAGCAACAAAAGGGTCAATGAGATAATCAACAACCTTGAGCAAAAACAAGACAGTAAAATTAAAATAGCATCAAGAATTCGGTGAGAATTATCTGAAGAAGTGACGTGCATAATCAAGTCATAAAGAGAGATAAACAACTTAGCTTTAGCAGGCATATAAAGGAAGCATTATGGCAAGCAAGTGCAATATACCTCTTTCCCAAAGTGACGCTGAAAGAATCCACCAACACTAAAAAAAATCAAATAAGTTAGTCAATTACATTCTCAAAAAATAGCAAAAAAGAAAGGTGGAAGCACAAATAACTCTTTAATGACATAAAAACATTATGGTAACCGATTATCACCTTTCTTGGGAGTGATCATCAGAAACTTTTGTGTTACTTTTCTTCCACAAAAATGGTTCCAAAATTATGTTAAACTGCCAGCCACAATTATGCACAACCATTAAACTTTGTGATCCTTATGGTCAATCGACCCAAAACAATACAAAATGATTAAGAAATAAAAGAAAAGAAAATCTGATGATGATGATGAATGAAAACACTTGCAAACCTTAGCTCGTGAAGAAAGAATGTTGCTCATAATCAGGGCGATTGAGTTTGTAGGTATCTGATATATAACACAAGCAGCTGTGTTGGTCACGGGCAGACACAGAAAACTAAATAGCAGATTCAAAAATAAGACGATCAAAAGTACTAAAAAAGAAGATGGATGCAGCAAGCAGGACATACCAGCACTGGCAGCCCATTTCTAACAATATACCGTTTGTTCTGTGAAATTGGCTGTAACAGCAAGGGGAAAAAATTTTGAATAACAAAATGACCAAAACAAAACCAAGAGCAGCTTCCATAAATATTAAGTTGATAACACTAATTTTTTTTCCAACTTTGCACAAGTTCTTACAAATTGCTGCTTTTCTCTAATTCCAAGATCATCAAGCAGACTTTGGACCTCGACTTCGCTTTCGGTCTGCACAGAGCAAACAAAAACCTTAAATGCCAATGACTAAAATTGTTTTCGGATCATAAGAAAACTGCACCATCCATGTTAACCCAGAATGAGTTTAACTCACAAAGTGATCAAACTAAATTTACCATGGTATTGGCACCTTCATCCCAGATTAGACCATGATGAGAAGAAACACTCCTCAACTTCCCTCCAGCTCTTTCCTCGGCTTCAAATACCGTCACGTTTAAACCGTGTGATTTCAACTTGTACGCCGCAGCAAGCCCACTACACCATCATAACATCTACTCAGCCTAAAATCCTCAACTTTTTTCACATAAAAGGGACTAATTTTTAGGTAATATTAGTACAGCATAACTTATCTAAATGGAGATCAAACGCTTAATTACGAAAACAACAATATATGGTATGTTAAAGATAAAATAGTGCGAATAATTAGACCCTATATCACTCATTCAAAATCAGTAAAATCCGAAAGTTCAAAAAAAAAAAAAAAACCAAAATTACCTGACACCAGCACCAATAACAGCTACACTTTTAACAGGACCTGAAAAATTATCATTCTCAACGCCATTAAAAGAAGTCAAACCTTACACAAACTTTAACATAGTACAAAGGCAGATTATAATTATCAGGTGTCTGAATTTGTTGTGCCCGTTACAAAATTGTGTTTGTTGTAATCATCAGTTAGATAATAAAGGAGAAAGAGTTACTTGTTGGGTTATCTTGTTTCGAAGCTGAAGTGCCCATTTTGTGTTCTTGATTCTTCTGTGATGCTTTTGAGACTCGGATAGATTACTTCATAGAAAACTGTTGACAAACATCTCGTCTCATGTCTCAGGTTCTGACGGGGTCTTCCGAACCCAATTAAAAACCCGCTCGAACCGATAAGGCACACCCGTCTGGACTGTCTTTTCTACTTTGGGTAAATTGCTTATTTTGGTCCCCAAACTATATACGAAGTTGCAGTTTGGTCCTTGGATTTTTTTTTATAGGACAATTTGACGAGATATTGGATGCTGGGATTTTGCGTGTGATGACTGCAGTACTGGTCACAAGAAACAAAGGAAAAAAAAAGGTCGATTATCATTTATCAACGCCACTAATTTTTCAATGAGTTAGAGATATTGACAAGTAAAATTGTAATTTGTAGGTGACAATCATAATTTGCAGTCTTATAGTGAATTTTGTGATTAGTTAAAAAGGTTTGACAAATGATCTCACTAATGGAAAAAAGTGTGATAATGATCTCACCTCGCCCATAGTGATATGTGAAATTGCTCGAGAGGATAATAGCACTCACTTGGAGGACATGGTTCCTTGTGATGATGGCAAGAATTTCGGTACAAGAGACGGTTTTAGGGGGAAAGTTTGGCTAATTTGATGGCGTCAATTAAACTCTGTTTAGCTCGTGAGTTCGAATTGTGACCATTAATCCCTAGATTTCGAGTCCGCCACTACTGTTTTCTCACCAATAAAAGAGTTTGTGCCGTCTAAATAACACTGAATCATCAGAGCCCTGCTGCCTGCATCATGTAACATGTTCATTAGTTACCGAGAAACAAATATTAGTTTGTAACTATTATGTAATATATATATATATATGGACACACACACATATAGAAATTAATGGAGCATGCATCAACGAAGCAGTCATAGAACGAAGTAATGAAGCAGCCATTCTAGAATCTTCCATGACTGCCCTTTGGTCCCAAGTGAAGATTATGGACTCTACTTCTGGACAAACATCTTTGTATACCTGAAACCCACCAGTCTATTGGCATTGTAGGATTTAATTAGAATTCGTCTATTTTATCATGAAAGGAGTGGTTGATGAAAAGGAGAGAGATGCTTGATCAAGCTGTGTGAGCTTAGTGAATATACTCCTAATGTCATGTGATAAGTGAGTTAACCCCCTCTATTGTGTGTTGCAGATTGTGAAAAAAAAAAAAAAAAAAAAAAAGTGAAGAAGAAGAAGAAGCAATTAAAACCATTGAGCTTGATATTAGCTGGTAACATCCATCTCACTTTCCCTCACGTAAAATTACGCTCTAGCTACCAAAGTTACAAAAGAAAATTTGACTATATATGGATACATCGTGTCACACCTTTCAAAGAAAAAAGAAATGTATGGTGAGCATTTTTGAGGTTTGATGATGAGCCATTGGCTCCAAAAAAAAAAAAAAAAAAAAAAAAAAAAAAAAAAAAAAAAAAAAAAAAAAGGGTAAAAGAAAGTAAAAAAACCATTGATTTTCTAAAAAAAAAAAAAAAAAAAAAAAAAAAACTAAGAGTGTTCATCGAATGTATCAATCCGATCGATTTGCATAATCTAATTTACTTCGGCAGATTAATTGGATTGAAAGATTTTTAGATTGATAATGGGTTTTCTCAATCTGCAATAACATATTAGATTACAGATTAAGCATTTTTCAATATGCATAATCCGTCAATCCGAACTATATATTATATATTTTTTTCAATATATTTTGAAATAACTAGCTTTTCTTAAAAAAAAAAAAAATTATGCAACACATATACATAATTCAAGTATATGCGTGGAGTCTCAATTTTATCTTCAACGACAGATTTAATACAAAGCCCAAGCCCAAACTAATGTATGAACGTTGAATCATTTTAAAGTAATGTTGATGAATGATGAAGATTTTACTTATTAAATTTTTTTTGCTATTATGGATTTGAATTTTACATTTTTAATTATTATCAAAGACTTGAACTTTATGTCAGATTTTGTGTGAAAGATTTATGTTAGATTTTGTGTTTTGATGAATTAGATTTATGGAGCTAATTTTAATTTTATGTTATGTTATATTTGTGTTTAATTTTGTTATTAATTTTATGAAAATGATGAAAAAAGTGACACGCTACAAGAGTCAAAGTGTAAAACATAACTAATCCATAAATTCGCGCAATTCAATCTGCGGAATCTTTTACAGATTGGATTAGAATGAGTGTCTAACAGATTAGTAACAAATTAAGATTTTTCTAATAAGTAATAACATATTAGATTGCGGATTGACCCTTAACCCGCGTAATTTGATCCGCTTAAAAACAAAAACAAATGGTTTAGTTCCACATTGATTTGAAAGCAAAAAAAAAAAAAACAAAGATGAGTTATAACGTTTACAAAAGGATCAAGAGCTTATGTTTTCAAATCAACTCTTAATATTGTTATTTGATTTGAATATTAAGATTCACTTATTTGTGCTAATTTAGCTATGTAAAACAACTTATATCTTTTGGGTCAGAAGGTATTGGCGACATATTTCCAACATTCATCAATTATGGACATAACATAAACCTTTTCTTTGTGAATGAAAGAACAGGAGAAAATGTACTTTTTATTGTTAGGATAAACAATAGCTATATTAGTTGACAAACTAGCGCTACTAACTTAGTGACTAAGGGTTATGAAGCATACAAAAACTATAATTTAATGCATGTAATATTGAGTATTACACTTAAATAAACTGAATATTAAACACGAAAATAAACGATGTTACACGGGAGATGTTATTGACCTCTCTAATCATAATTGCTTATTTATTATAATAGATTAACTTAAATAACTCAAACAAAAGTGTGGTATTAAACAAAGAGGACAATATTAATTTTATATAGAAGTTTGGAGATCAATTATACAAAAATTTTAATTTATTATTATTTCAATAAAGTGCACAATTCATTACCAAAAAAAAAAGTCGTCATTACAATAAGCGCAGTTATAGATAAAACAATATAACTCTTTTCGGACATATTTAGTGTCGTATATATTAGCACTCTACATTGAATTAATTGAAAATAATACTCGGGTCGAGATCAAGATCCATAATTTCAGTGCGTATCCCGAGACCAAGCCAAGTATCGTATTTATTTAAAATTATACAATATAATAGAATATAATACGATACAATATCAGCCTAGAAGAAATACAGTCTGATACAGTAAAATACAATACATAGTAGCTTGTAAAGAAAAAAAATACAAGATATAATGCACCGAATGTGACCTAAGGATAACTAACATCAATAGAAATGAAAAAAGTGCTTATGGAGGAATAAATCTCCTACCGTCTACCTTAGGATTAAATAATGGCTTTCTCCAAACTTTTTAGGGCCTTCAGTAAGTAGTCAATTAACAATAGCAGCATAAACTTGAAATTGTAGAAAAACTGGATCGATCATTGTCTAAGTGGAAACGACACGTCGTTTATTGTTCGATGACAAAACAACAAAGTTAATAAAATGATGTCATTTTTGAAAAAGAAGCGATATGTTACGACTTGAAAATATTAATTTCATTTTAACGTAATTTGTCATATTATACATATACTAAAAGAAAGGACATGATTCACTATTCATGCTACAATGTTATGAATAGTGTCTTTCCCGTTTTAGTCTTGATTTTTTCTTCTGCTGAAATTTTAATTACGGTCGTGTCCCGAGAGTGAAATGACGATACTACCCTTTACTGGAGGTTTTTGTACGCGCATTTGCCGTGACCATTTTGGTCATTTTCTGCCTTTATGCTTATGTCGTTTGCCCGTGATTCATTTTCCTCATTTCAGTCTTATCTGAAGCCTCTTCACTCTCTTTCTCCTTCATTTTTTTCCTTCCGTCACATTCTAGAATCTTCCTTCATCGATACAGAGCCTCAGTTTTTTCCCCTATTTTGTGTTTGTTGATCTCCGCCATTTTTCCATTATTTCTTCCTGTTGTCGTTTACACCTTCCGTTGCTTTGCTGTTGTAATTTTAAAATTTTTTTTAACTGAGATTGAGGGGTTTTCCTTTTTTCCCCTTTTCTCCGTTTGTTTTTCTCTGTAACCTTTTAGATCCGTTTTCCTTTTTGCATATTTGGAACGATTAGGATTATGTTTTTTTTTTTTGGTCTGTTTGTTCTTATGAGTTTCTACATTTATGTTTATCTACTTTTGTTTCTGGATCTGCTTTTTTGCCTTTTGGTTTTTTCTTTTTTAAACCTTCTAGATTCCTTTATTTTTGTAAATATTTGTAAATTTTTCTTTGTTTGTCATATTTTTTTTTTGTAAAATCTGAGTTTTTTTTCTTCTTGCTAGATCTAGATTTGCTTATAGCTTTCCGTATTTGCACTGAACAGACTTATATTTTTCTTTGGGTTCGTTCGTTTCTGTAATCTTCTGCATATATGTTTATCTTTACTGTTTCTGGATCTATATTTAAATATTTATGTTTATCTGGTTTTGTTTTTGGATCTGCTTTTTCGCCTTTTGGTTTTTTTTTTTTTTAAAACCTTTTAGATTCCTTTATTTTTGTAAATATTTGTTCATATTTCTTCGTTTGTCATATTTGTTTTTTTTTTTTTGTAAAATCTGAGCTTTTTTTCTTCTTGCTAGATTTAGATCTGCTTATATTTTTCCGTATTTGCACTGAACAGGCTTATATTTTTCTTTGGGTTCGTTCATTTCTGTGATCTTCTGCATATATGTTTATCTTTATTGTTTCTGGATCTATATTTAAATATTTATTTTTTCCCTTTCTTCAACCTTTTAGATTAGTCTATTTTGTTTAGTTTTTTGTTCCACTTCTTCGTTCTCTAAATATCTTCTTCCTGCAACTCTGTAGATCTTTTTTCCTCCCTCACTATATTTATTGTAGCTACATCTCTCATTTTTTTTTTTGTATATTTATATGTTCCTCGATGCTTTATATTACATTTTGTCTCATTAGTTGTACATGCATGTTAATTTTTGGTCCGATTACGTTATTTGTTATTATTGTGGAGTGTTTTGGTTAAATTTTTCGGTTTTCATTTTATGTGTTTGTTCATATTTTTCAGATTTGTATTTTTATTTTTCCCGATTTTTTCAATACTGTCC